AACCGAAAAAGCTGTCGGATGTCAAGAGCACAAGACCGATTTCCTCTAGGAGACGATCCAGCGGCAGACAGACCTCGGCAGCAATGGTCTCGAGGAATGAACGACACTCGAGTGCCACAGCTAAGAACGCGGGCGGAGAGCTCGTTTCGCAACGCTCTGCCGTGCTGAAGCGGGAGGAGTTGAACGCTCAAATTGATGGTATCAGGGTAATCCTTATTGGAGACCTTCACGATCTTCCACTGCTCGACTGGAGTGTCAAGAAGTTCAACGTTGATATTCGGGACTGGTCGTCAACACTTCATGCCGATACCAATTTCGAGACATTTGTCAATGTGTATAACTTCTCCAAGTCAGCTTGGGAACCCCTTATTGAGCCTTGGCAGCTAGGGTTCCACGTTGCGAAGGAAACTGCCCCTGAGATCCTGTCTATAGATGCCTACTCTCATAAGACGATGGAGCTTACAGTTACTTCGGCAACTATTGCCCTGGCGTCAAAGTCTTTCCAGTTCCTATCAACGGATGAAGATGTTCTCTCCAAGCCAAGAGGTGCTGATGCGCCCTACCGAATTCGCAATTACACTGGCTTCGATTTGCATGTTTGGGCCGATGTCAGCCCTGACGAAGAGGGGCCGGCTGCTAAATTGGCTGATGGTGAAGAATACCCTTGGAGATTCGAGGATTCTACTGCTATGCGTGAGACGCTTGCGCCAGAAGGCCATGCTGGACTGGTTGGAGTCAAGCTCGAAGGAAGTGGTTTCGACAGCATTAGCCGCATTCCCGTTGTTCGTGAGGGTGAGATCCTGTATGGTCTGAAGCCCAAGAAGGACGGTATTCTTCACCAACTGCTTGTGGAAGTCAAGCTGGGTCCCGACAATGTCAAGTATATCACCTTCCGCTCGCCACTTGTTGTTGAGAACAGCACGCAAATACCTGTAGAGTTGGGCGTGTTCAACCCTAACGATGGCCATCTTCTGAAAATCGAGAAGATCCTTCCTGGTGATTCGCGACCTGCGCCCGTTGGGGCAGCGTATATGCACTCCCTTGTTATTCGCCCTGATCAGGGCTTCGGCTATGACTGGTCCCGTGAACAATTACAATGGAGAGAGCTCTTGCGTCGGCCAACGCGGACAATAAAGTGTCTTAGTGAAGGCGGACAACAAGCTCCTCCATTCTATTTCCAACTGCATGCTTCATTCAACGCCCGAGATAAATTGACAGGCGTCTATCCTTACATGCGTCTCCGGATCTTCGCTCCAGTTGAAATTCAGAACCTTCTGCCTTACGACTTCAAATACCGCATCTATGACAAGAACACCAAGAAGGATTGGACGAACTTCCTGCGCAAAGGTGGTGTGAGCCCTGTCCATGTCGTTGAGCTATCTCATCTGCTACTCCTCAGCGTCGACTTAGAGGACACTGTCTTCAGGCAGAGCGACTTTGCAATCATCAATGGCAACTCTCAGGACTACAGAAGAGAGCACGTGCTTTCATTGAAAGACGATCGAGGCATTCAACTTCGACTGAAGCTCCATTACTTCAATGTGCCTGACAGCGGTGGAGCTTTCAAGATTTCTGTCTACAGTCCGTATCTCATCTTGAACAAGACCGGACTTCCTATGGAAATTCAAAGCAAGGCCTTTTTACAGTCAGCGCGGTCAGCGGCTGGACAGGGCCTGATGGCTGATTCGAGGCATGGTGGGCGGTCGCTTCCTTACATGTACTCCTACCACACGGATGACCAGAAGAATCGTTCCATGTTGAGAATTGGTGAATCTGCTTGGAGCAAGCCTCAGAGTTTTGAAGCTATTGGGAGCACATTCGAGGTCGTTCTTCCTGACAGGCATGGTAGATCTGAGATCCATTCAGGTGTGTCTGTCGCCGAGGGCGACGGAAAATACAAATTGACGAAGGTCGTGACCATTGCACCACGCTTCATTCTGAAGAACAAGCTAAACGAGGACATCCTGGTCCGGGAACCTGGCTCGTCGAATGTCCTACAAATCAAGAGTGGTGAACTGACACCCCTACACTTCTTACGCCAAGTTGTGGACAAGCAGCTGTGCCTCTGCTTCCCGGGGGTAAACAATCAATGGTCATCGCCCTTCAACATTGCCGATATTGGAACCGTACATGTCAAGCTTGCCAAAGCTAATCAACGCCAGAGACTTATCAAGGTTGATATTATCATGGAGGGTGCAACTCTTTTCATCCATTTCAGTTTTGAGCCTCGCAACTGGCCTTTCTCGATGCGAAACGAGAGTGACATGGAATTCATTTTCTTCCAGGCTGTGAGTATACTTTGTCCGCCTCAAAACATGCATTGCTAACGCGACCGTAGAACCCGAACCTTGAAGACGACGAGGAAGACAGATCCAATGGCTGGCGACCTATTCGCTACCGCCTTCCTCCTCGCAGCATCATGCCCTATGCCTGGGATTATCCAGCCACCAAGAACAAGTCCCTTGTCTTAACATGCAAAGGCAAGGAAAGGCACATCAAGCTTGCTGAGATTGGGAATTTGATACCGATGAGAATTCCCCCAACCCAGTATGGAGAGACTCAGAAGATCATTGATATCAACATTGTTGCAAATGGTCCAACCCAGACTTTGGTCTTGTCGAACTTCAAGGCATCGAAGAGTATTTACAAACAAAAGGGTCAAGCATCACAGAGCAGCTTGAGTACTGGCTTCGAAGTGAAAGAGCTTGATTCGGATGTCAACTTCAAAGCCCAGCTCCGGCTTGGAGGCATTGGCATCTCCTTGATCAATCAAAACTTAAAGGAGCTGCTTTATCTGACATTCCGCGATATTGAAATCAAATTCAGAGAATCAAGAGTTTACCAGACTCTGAACACCACAATCAAGTGGATTCAAATCGACAATCAGCTGTATGGGGGCATCTTTCCCATTTTGCTGTATCCCAGTGTGGTTCCAAAGACTGGGAAGGAGATGGAAGCACATCCAATCTTCCATGCTATGGCTACCCGCGTTAAGGACGACTCCTATGGTGTTCTCTATATCAAATATGCCACAGTTCTTCTGCAGCAGATGACATTGGAGCTTGATGAAGATTTCATTGCCGCAATGCTCGACTTTGTTAAGGTGCCTGGTGCTTCGTGGTCTGAGCCGCACGAAGGGAAACTCTGCGATGAGGACTTGAACATTCCAGAGCCGCAGAATGAAGGTGTCGCTCAGGACGTGTACTTTGAACTTCTTCATCTGCAACCTATGCAGATAGACATCTCTTTCATGCGTACTGAACGTGTGAATGCGGAAGATGCTCTGCAACCGTCCAACCCGCTGATGTTCTTCGTTCATGTCATGACCATGTCAATGGGCAATGTCAACGATGCTCCGGTACGTCTGAATGCATTGATGCTGGAGAATGCGCGCGTCTCCTTTGGAGTGCTTGTCGGCAACGTCCAGAGACACTACACGCAAGAATTCCTTCGCCAAGTACATGTGGTCCTCGGCTCTGCAGATTTCTTGGGCAACCCTGTTGGACTGTTTAATACCGTCAGCTCTGGTGTGGCAGATATCTTCTACGAACCATACCAGGGTCTGGTCATGACTGATAGACCCCAGGAGTTGGGTTACGGTATCGCAAAGGGTGCCACCAGCTTTGTGAAGAAATCCGTCTTTGGATTTTCTGATAGTATGGCCAAGCTTACTGGAAGTATGTCCAAGGGTTTGGCTGCTGCTACATTGGATAAAGAATTCCAGGACCAGCGGCGGATGTCCAAGTCTCGGAACCGGCCCAAGCACGCCTTATATGGCATCACAGCAGGCGGTAATGCATTCGCAACTAGTCTAGCAAGTGGAATTGGAGGACTTGCCCGTCATCCACTCCAGGGTGCTGAAAAGGAAGGTATTCAAGGATTCTTCAAGGGTGTTGGAAAGGGCGTTTTAGGTTTGGCGACGAAGCCTGCGATAGGAGCCTTTGACCTTGCCTCAAGTAAGTCTATAATTACACTTTCGAAGCAAACCAGGAACTGACCCAAATTAGATCTGGCTGAGGGCGTGCGAAACACGACAACTGTATTTGATGCCGAGGGACTCGACCGTGTTCGTCTCACTCGCTTTATCGGCACCGATGGTATCGTGCGGCCCTACTCTCAGCGCGAAGCGTTAGGACAATTCTGGCTCAAGACGGCCGACGATGGAAAGTACTTCAACGAGGATTATATCGCACACCTGGAACTTCCGGGACGGGACATGCTGGTCATGTTGACTTACGATCGGATTATCCTCGTGCGCACCAAGAAGCTGCGGACCGAGTGGGACATGCGGTTGACCGACATCCAAACTATTTCCAAGGAGCGTACGGGTATGAGCATCACTCTCAAGGGTGGTACGAATGGCCCCTTCATCCCGGTTCAAGATGAGAGCTCCAGAAATTGGCTGTATCGGCAGATAGCAATTGGTGAGTGCACATACGGCCCAGCAACTGCTATGTAGCTTTGCTAACTTCATTTAGCCGTCAACGCCTTCAACGAGAAATACAATTCTCGCGGCTAAACACAACACATTTCCTGTTTCTCTTAACGATGTTATGTCGGCTGATGGTTGGGTAAAATTTCCTACAAGGGTTGATTCGAAGTCCGATATGACATGAAATGGATGGTGAAAGGCAGAGAGAGGTTGTAATGATAACGCATTGCTATTATTCATCTTTTGGTCTCTTTCCCATGTTACAGCAAATTAAGCGAGAACGGTTCTATTCGTGCAGCTTATCTTTCTCTTTTCTTATGATGTTTGTTAATGTACATACATGCATTACCTGATCCACTACGCTGTGGTCAGTTCCTTACGTTAATTATTATTATCGATTCTATTCAGCTGCAAGCTACAGCACAGATGACTGCATTAGCAAGGACATAAAGCTTGTCTCACACAACATGACAACAGGCATAGACAGCACAGAAACATAGAACCAACCCCCCTACACCACTTGCTACTAGCCGAACACGCCCATATCCTATCCATATCCTATTGACCACACCCATTCAATCAATCAAAATGGCCCCCCAGCGAAACATCCTGACACGGCAAGATCAACCAACTACTATCATCCAACAACCTAATCGTAATCTTTCCCCGACTCTGCGTCAACTCTTCCACATGCGGAGAGAAAGTCGTTCGATAGATTCGTTGCACCAGATTCCAGATATTCTGTCTTTCCGGAGCATCGAACGTCCACCACGCCAGGTGGATTGGTCTCAAGTTGGTAATACCCACGTTACTCGTCTTGGAGTATTTTATAAACCCCTTGAAGAAGTATATCATGTCGTCACGAGTGGCCGCTGTGACGAGCCAGCAGCAGTAACTGCCCCTTGTTTCGATAGTTTGGACCATATAAGAGTAGTAGGGGCGATGGTGGTTGGGAAAGGTAGTTTGAGGTTGGACTTGGGTGGCGTCGCCCATTGTGATTAAGGATAATGTATGTTATTGATGGATTTTGGGTGGGAGGGTGTTTGGCTTGGAGTAGGAGTTGCGTTTAATTCAAAGGTAGGTAGGTAGGTAGGTAGGTAAATAGGTAGTTCCGGGACACACAAGTCGTTCGTTCAACTTGTGGGTTGTTTGGTGCTTTTATATCTATCTCACTTCTAAGCTGTGAATATGTGCCATTACCCTGGAAGGGCTCAGATATTATTCTTCTATGTGTGAATGAAACACTGCAAGTGATTGGTGGAAAGTTAATGTCTTTTGGCGTGTGATGGTCGTCATTGAATGATGATGGATCGATCTACTTATGATAGCTTTGCGCTGGATTCCGAGGGATGACTTCCCGGAGAGTCGACCTGGGCCCGAATCCGGTTGGCGATCGAGATATTGAATGTGGGATAATTGGCTACATAATAGTTATTCACAAATAGTATTGTTGCTACCATGGCCTTTCTGGTTTATATATGTCTGTAGGTAGTAAGCTTGCATTAATGGCAGCATGAAACTGGTAGTAATAACCAATCGGACATGACAGCTGGAGTAGCAATATTGCGTCTTGTTGTTCTGAGTATTAATACTACTGATATTCTTCTTCTCTTAGTCTAGCGCGTACAGGAAGGTCTGGATGGACTCCTTGTCGTCGACACACTTTGAGGGTGGTGCCGTTGTTCTTCCACATGGGACGTAACGCCTTCTCGTTTCCTGATTCCTAGTGAGAAGATGCCAACTTCTAGTATGTCGAGAAAATCCATGCAAGTGAAGTTCGGATTGAATTCGATGCACGCTATATGTACGTATGTAAATAATACAATAGTGCCAAATTCACCTGTATGCCTGCCACCCAGTCTTTGAACCAAAGCATTGAGATTAAACAAGAAAAGAGATGAGGAGAAACTGTAAAGTAGACGCAAACGGACAGTCACGGTGAATACAAGGGCCGAGAAGGAAATCAGAATGGGAAAAGAGAAACGAGAAGAGACCAGAGCGTTTGTTGAGGTGATGGTTATGATCTCAAGACCACCGTATCAATGAGGTAGAAAAAGATATAGGTTGAAGATGGTATTGGGTTGTTTCTCGACGTATGACACATGAGGACGAGGAAGGATAAGAGCAGAGAGCGCGGTGCATATCAAAACATTCCTATGATATTGTAGCTGTAACAGGCGATGATCGTAAAAAAAAGGGAGAATCAGAGGTAAAAGATCGCTTATTCCTGGACGGAATTCCCGCTGGTCACTGTAGGTGGTAGCCGGGCCGTCTGTAGGGCTTCAGGCAATTTCAGCGGTGCCGCGGGAGCTGATTGCAGCTTGTCGAGCTTTTCGCCTCTCAGAACCTTCTCCATCTCCTCCTTTGTCAGTGTCTCGTATTCAATCAAAGCCTTAGTCAAGAGCTCCAGCTCCTCCCGCTTCTCAGTCAGAATGTTGCTAGCGCGGGCACGACCCTCCTCGACTAAACGACGGACTTCGGATTCAATCTCCTGCTTCGTTTCCGATGAGAGGCTGTCATAGTTGCTCGACAGGTCAACGTTTCCGAGCTTCTTGGAGTAGCCGAAACGGGTGACCAAGGTAAAGGCGGTTTCAGTGGCTTGTTGAATGTCCTATTACATGTCAGTGACTACGTACTTTGAGCTAAGGTGTTGAACGTACCGCAGAGATTCCACTGGTCACCTTGTCGGGGCCGAAAACGAGCTCCTCGGCAGCCTTACCGCCCATGGAGACGTCGATATCCGAAAGGTATTCAGTGTAATTTCTCGAGACCATGTCCATCTCAGGCAGGAAGTGAGTCACACCCAAGGCCATGCCTCGAGGAACAATGGTGATCTTGTACAAAGGCGTAGAGGAAGGAGAGAAGTAAGCAACGAGAGCGTGACCGGCCTCGTGGTAGGCAGTGAGGATTTTGTCCTTGTCTTGAATGATACGGCTGCGAGCCTCAGCACCCATCATGATCTTGTCCTTAGCCCAGTCGAAGTCCTTCGGGCCAACCTTGGTTTGCTTGTTACGGCTGGCATAGATGGCAGCTTGGTTAACAAGGTTCTCCAAATCGGCACCAGAGAAACCGGGGGTACCACGAGCAATGACACCAACATCAACATCCATGCTGACCTGGACCTCCTTCATGTGGTGTCGGAGAATATCCATACGACCACGGACGTCGGGAAGACCAACAGTCACCTTGCGATCAAAGCGACCAGGACGCGTGAGAGCCTTATCCAGAAGTTGGGGGTAGTTGGTTGCGGCGATGATGATCACTCCGCTGCTTTGGGAGAAGCCGTCAAGTTCAGTAAGCAGTTGATTCAAGGTTTGCTTCACGTAGGCGGCATCCCTCTCGTTCCTCTTGGCACCAATGGCATCCAACTCATCAATGAAGATGATGGCGGGGGACTTGCTGCGGGCTTGAGTGAACAATTCACGAACGCGCTTGGCGCCGACACCCACGTAGACCTCATCGAATTCAGAGCCAGACATGTAGAAGAAAGGAACACCAGCCTCCCCTGCAACAGCACGAGCCAGCAAAGTCTTTCCGGTACCAGGAGGACCAACCAGGAGAACACCCTTGGGCAGCTTGCCACCAAGCGAGGAGAAGCGATCGGGGTTAGTGAGAAATTCGACGAGTTCCTGAAGTTCTTCCTTGGCTTCATCGCAACCATGCACATCGCTGAAACGGACAGTCTGCTGCTGAGGCTGAGCTTCGCTGTTCTGCGGGCCCCTGATGTTCTTCAGGGCACCAGTCGTTTCAACCAAGATTGTGATCATAACCAGAGACAGATAAGCGAAGAAGGCGAAGTAGAACAGGAACTTGACCCATCTGAAGACAGCACTTCCGGTTGACTCCTCCACAACCACGTGCAGAGGATCTTCCTTGTTTCCAGTGCCAGTCTGCTTGACTGCTGAACCGTAGTGGGTAGAAGAACCGAATTGTCCACCGTGAAACTGAGTTGCGACGGCCTGGCCGATGGCTTGCAGCCGCTCGGGGCTGACGGCCTGGCCGGACGCAGGGACCGCTACCGCAGAATCCACGCCGCCAACGCGTTGCAAGGCTTTCATGTAGAGTTCGTCCGTAGCCGCATTCGTGGCAAAATGACCGCTTTTGTACCGTTCAACGATTATGGCAGGGTGGTTTGCACGGAGGAGGGCCTGGTAGAAAGCATTCTGAGCGTTTGCGCTGCTAGGGTTGTTGTTGGCAGTCTTCTCCTTCTGCGCCAACAGATTGTGAGAAGAACCACCAAACAGAAAACGCTGTTGCTGTAACCGGGAGAGACCTTGTACTTGGGGGGCGTGGCGAAGACGGTTGACGGACATGGATATCGTGGAGTAGGAACGAGCAGAGGGAGAGGCAAGATGACGGGTAGCAAGAGACGGCGAGGTCCACATTGTGGTTCCTGGAATGAAGTCAAGTTAGAGCAAGTCTTTCTTCTAGGTATAAGAAGAGAAATGTATACCATTGAGCAAGGAGCGAGACCATCCGCTTTGAGTGGTCTTGTTCAAGATGCTTGCCTTCAACGCCTCGGAAGACACAGTAGCCAGGAACTCGGGCAGCTGCACACCACTTGATCCCTATACGTATATCAGCGCACTAGCTCCATCATTATACGGCCGACTAGGGAGACATACCGTGGAGGTTGCTTCCGCAACCGCGCGTTGGGAGGGCTGAGGGGCGGCATATCCGGAGCGGGAGGCGTGTTCGACGTTATTCCGGGGCGCATTAAACAACCGTGTCATTGACGGCCAGAGATCTGAGGTCACGGCCGCAAGACCCTGCCGGAGAGTCAATAGTTAGCGAAGGCAAGTTCAAGCGTGGACAGATAGCAAGGCTTACCGGCTTGGGGAAGGGGACTTGGAAGGCCATGGTTGTCCGAACTAAAGCGGCACTTGGCCGCGACGTTGATGATAGTAACCCTTCGGCGCGATAGGGAGAGGGTGGGGCACAGTAACGATGATGATGAGATCAATCCTTAATCAAGATACATGCCATCCCCGACCACAACCAGACGACAGATTTGAGATGAAGAGAGGAAAGAAGAGAGGCCAAACCAATGACGATGCTTGGCTGGTCGTTGCTCGGCGGCGAAATTCGACTGCCGACCCGGTGCTCTGCCGGCTGCTGTCGCCCCCCGTAGCCAGAATGACTGCCTATATGCCTCAGGCATGCGACATCGAATTCCACGCCATTCCCCAAACTTCCCCGCCCGCATGGATGCGTTCTAGAAGGCTGCACCACCAGAGCTTCCCGGAATTTTCCCGCTGTTGACACGGCCATATATCTGGTATATCTGCGTCATGACTTCTCCAACCGTACTCATGCCATGACCATCATGGCCGCGCACGATCCTCAATCCACTTTCTGAACCGTATACGCAGTACCATACAACATGAGTCGTTGCCTGTTTACAACCCGTGGTTCAGATCGGATACCAATGGCTAGAACATCATCAGAGTCAAGCTCAAAGGTCCATCCTCTTTGTCACAGACTATCTATATAACGGGACACGCCCTTCAGACGCGTTCACAACGCAGCTGCGGATCAGATACTTTAATGCTCCTTCCTCTCTTGGCACCTTTGAATCAATCTCTATCTTTGACCTCACCGATCTGGACGGATCTCCGCAACGTGTTTGACATTGATAAGTTGGAGAGAGCAGTGACCGGTATTCTAACTAAGATGCCCGTGGCATGAAGCCCGCTATACGACACATATGATGTCGAAACGGACCATCTTCCTCATGGGTGCGCCCACGTTGCGGAATCTCCAGTGGAATGAAGAGGAGCTGCTGAACGCACCGATATCTCCATTTCATAGTCTGGATACGCAAGACGTAGGCCATTGGCCTTTCCCCGATGGTCAGCCCGTGAAATGGAGACTATTGCAGGATCTGCGCAATCCTGGGCTTCTCCCAGAAATCTACAGGTGGGAGCCGGGTCGAGATGCTCGCTTCCTTACTATACGGGACATTGCAGGCTCTGATGGGACTTCGCGGACAAAGCCGGATGATTCGGTACTCTCGCAATTCTACAACCA